CTCCCTCCTCTGGGGCCGCGGGAGCCCACTGTCTAGCCAGGACCACAGGGTGGCCAGCAGGGGGTCAATGGGACTGGCATCCTGCATCCTGTCCTTCCAGGGTCAGCTCTGTGACCTGTGTGCTGGACAGAGAGAGAGAGGCCTGGGGATGGTGCTGAGGAGCCATGGACAGTGAGGAGGGTGACGCTGCGTTCCAAAGGGAACAGGTGGTAGATGCTGGCCAGAGAGTCAACGCAATCCAGGCAGGGAGGTGGGTGACAGGGGCAATGAGCCAACGTGAGGAGCAGGAGAGCAGGTCAGGGGGGCACCTGAGACCAGCCCCAGCACATCAGCCCGTCACCGGCCATGCCCACCATCCCATGCTCTGACCAACAGGCGTACTATGACCCAGGTGGGATGGGGCAGCTCCTGCCACAGGCACCAGCCAGGCCAGGAGGGGGCTGGTGATGGAGACTCATTCCCACAGGGCAGGGCCTGCTGCCCCTCTCCTGCCCACAGCCCCCACTGTTCAGGCCTCGCCTTCCGGAAGCCTCCCTCTCCTCCATGACCCAAGAATGCCCCTCGAGCACCGGGGGAACTGCTCAGAGGCCAGCAACACCCTCCGGCCATGACCGCCAGGGTCCCACATCCCACAGCCAGAGGATGCGGCAGTCACGGCCTGCCAGGCGGTCGGGACCCTTCTCCTCCCCCTCCTCTCCTTCCCACCTTCACCCGCAGTCTCTGAAGTCAGCCCAGAAGGCAGGCGGGAAGCAGGCCAGTCTGAGACATTACCTAACTGCGCCTCCTTACCTAATCCCATAGCCATCTCCTGCCCCGGCGTTCCCCTGGCCTGGTCTCCAGCCATCTGTGCAGCCTGGCCGCCTCCCCACCTGCACACAGCACCTGAGGTTGGTCTGCGGAAACCGCCTCCACGTCGCCACCCTGCCAAGCCCTTTGCTCCCCACCCAGGTGGCCGTGCTAGTGAGGCAGGGTGGGGCCCACGGGTGGGCACCCTAGCCTCTCCCCCAGCCCAGGCAGGCAGGGGGGGCATCTCCAGCCCACCTGATGGCTGTGGAAGGACAGGGCAGCCTGCGTCTGCCCCAGGCTCACAGCCAGTGGCAGCTGGTGAGCTGGAGGCCAGGGAGAGGGGTGGGAGAGAACCAGTCATTGGGAAAGACTAGAGGTCAGAGGAGAAAAGAGACAGGTCAGCTGCCCTCCTTCACGGCACTGTAGGTGCAAGCAGACACGCCTACAGACACACAGGCACCCAACCCATATAGAGTGTTCACACACATCTAGGCATACATGCACCCAGCCCACACGCACATGCTCAGACACACATGTGCAACGTGCCAGCCCAGCCCACTATCACGGACACAGATGCACGTGTGCACACACAGATCCAGCCCTTGAACACATTGCTCACAGACCTAGGCCATGCTCAGACATACATACGCACGTGCACACACCAGGTCCAGCCTGCGCTCACAGATGTGCACCCAGTCCACTCTCACCCACAAGCAGATCTGTACGCACATGTGTGCACATGGGTCTCCGTGCTCACAGACACGCACACACAGATCCACAATCACGGACACACACAGCCCAGGGCTGGGGACACTTGTGCACACGTGCTCACACACTTACTTGCACACAAGCACATGCAGAGCACTGACCGGGTGCACAGTGCTCACTGCACGTGGGACCAGACCCAGCAGGGACACCGACGCCCGGACCCTGGCAGGGCCAGTGGGCTGTGCCACCAGCCTGGCTCTCTCCGCTCCACAGCCTGCATCTGGGCTGGCGTCAGCTGCAGTCTCAGCCGCGTGGCCCAGCAGACGAGCCCCAGTCAGAGCACCAGCACCTAGACCAGGCAGCTACAGTCGGCTCCATCTGGGCCCAGCTGTCCTCTTCAGCAAAGCCCGGGCACGGTGAGCAATGAGTGGAGGGCTGCGCTCCCTCCAGGTGGTAGGGTTCACCAAGCTCCTCAGTTCTGCCAAGGAGCCGGGGGTCTCTCTCAGCCTGGAAGAGTAGCTGGTACCAGGGGTTCTGAGAGACAGTGTCAGTGTCCTCAGGCTAAGAGGGGGCACAGACGGGCGGAACCCAGTGTCCTCGGGCTGAGAAGGGGCAGAGATGGGCAGAATCCTCAGGCAGCAAGCCCAACCGAGGGATCAGGGCAGGAGGGGACAGCCAGGTGTATCCCCAGGGAAACTGCCTGATGCAGCCCATTGTGGGGCATTAGTGGTGAGTACCAGGGAAGGCAGAGGCCACAGGCAGAGAGATGGTCCCCTCCATCTGGCCGGCCTGCCCCAGGCGGAGGAGGGCACAGCAGGAGCTCAGGAAAGCACTGGCCTGGGTGTGCTGTGCCCACCGTGACCAGAAACTCTGCCTCTGACCCCACGGGCTCAGGCCTGGAGACACGGGCAGACTCGCCCAAGACAGAGACCCTCTGAGCAGGAGAACACTGCCCCACACACCCTGAAGGACAGCAACACTCTGGTCAGCCCATCACCCCGGGTACTGGGACCAAGTCGATAGATATGGCCCCAAAAGTCACCCCCGCCCCAAAAGCTCAGAGTGTGACCTTCTCTGGAACTGGGGACTTTGCAGATGTACCTCATCGGCGATGTCAAGATGCAAGAGTCCTGGACTGTCCAGGGGCCTAAGTCCATGACAGGTGTCCTCCTAAGGGACAGGAGAGAAGGAGTGAGGAAGAAGATACGGCCCATGACAGAGGCAGAGTGCAGGCCCTGAGTCCAGCGCTCCCCACACACCCTGAAGATGGCAGAAAACCGTCCTGCTGGCCAGAGGGCGGGAGCTGCCCCTGGTGCCAGCCGCTTCTGGGACGCAGTCAGCCATGTGCGCGGCCCCTAGACAATGCGGAAACATGCCCCCCTGGAGCAGTGGGCAGGTGACACCAGGTCTGCGCAGGAAAGGATCGGGCTCTCGGCCACCAGCCCGCAGAGGAGGTCAGCTCCTACTTTCAGCAGGAGCCTCCATGCATTCCCCATCACACCTGGCTAACCCCACCCTCTCGGTACCAAGCCTCCCCCCTCTCACCCTTCTCTCGTGGCCATCTCAACCTGACCCTCCGCCCTGACCCGCTTCCCTCAAGACCGTCCAGCCCGGCCCTCCTCCCTCTGGCCCTCCTTCCTGAAGGCAGCAGACTGAAATGGGCTATAATTTAAAATACATTTATTCTGTGTTTCCATTTGTTTCTGGTTCTGTTACACAAAGCCATTAAATAAATACATTCTCCAAGTCGCTCGAGTTACCTACTCGCTGTACAGATGAGGTAGAGAAACCAATGGGCTCCCAGGGACCCCAACACAGGGTGAGTCTCGGGACAATGCCCTCCTCTCCTGCCCAGCCCCCGCCCGACCACGGCAGAGCCACGTCTGTGTGCCTTGGGCAGGGAGCAGGCGCCCGGCCCCGCCTGGCCCTCAGCATGGCCCTGCGGCCCACCGCGGCCCCCGCAGATGCAGAGCAGGGCTCTGTGCCCGCAGAAGACCTTCTTCTGAGAGGTCCTCGGCCCCATGGGGAGGGTGGGGAGACCACGGAGGTGGCCCCAACGGCGGGGTCGCTTCCTGGCTTAGCCAGATGCTCTGACGTAGATTTATAAGGGGACAGACCTACCAGCAGACACGTGCAGTCCGCCTTGTTTAAAAAAATATGCTTCTTAATATTTATGACATAGAGCTTAACATGGTTTAAAAAATAGCCTTCCTGCCCCACCGCCTCAGGCCCAATAGTGACCGAGCTACGGTCTTGTCACGCGAGCGGCCGGGGTGGTGGCGGCGGCCCCGGCTACCCAGCCCTCTCCAGCAGGCTGGAGAGAGACCACCTCACCCGCCCAGGAGCCCGCCCAGCAGGGGCCGCTGGGAGCCACAGGAGAACAGACTTTGCTATTTACAGACAGCGGGGGGCCAAGCACCGTGCCCACGGAAAAAGGCTTTCCGCTAAACGTACAATCTCCGTGGTTCCTGGAGCACCAGCCCCAAGAACCCCGTTTGCTCAGTAGTTCCCGCATCCATGCCGCTGCCCAGCTGAGTGCCCACCCCAGGAAGGGCCAGAGTGAGGCTACTCCAGCTGGCCACTGCCCACACCGACACAGCACCCACGTGCACGTGCCTGTGCACAGACCCCAGCCACGCGTGCACGCACACCACGGACACAGACACACAGCAGACCAGGTTGGGGCCAGCAGAGAACGGCCTCCAGCGCCGGCTCCCGGCATATCTGTCCCCCTGCTGCTGTGCAAAGCCAGCCGTGGCTTCCTCACAACATGACGCGCCCCCCGCGCCCCAGGGTGACCACTGCCCCTCTGCTCGTGTCCACGGCAGGGGGAGCAGGGGACGTGCGTGACACAGGTCAGTTCCTGCCGCCCACTCCTAATGGGGCCCTTGTGCAGCTCTGGCGTGGCCCTGTGCCCACAGGGCACACAGCGGCCTTGCTGCGTCAGGCCTGGGCCTCAGGGACCCCGCTCCAGGGGCCTAAGAGCACGGCCAGACCTAGCGTCGTTGCTTCTTCAGCAACAGCCATGCCCCCAGGTTTAGTGGTTACCAACACAAAAGCAGATAAGGCAAAGAGGTCAGGAAGGGGCGTGGGGAGTGGGAAGGCCCTTCCAGACTGGCCAAGAGTGCAGCGTGGACATGGTGGGGGTGGGGAAGTCATAACAATATATTAGTTAAATAAAATAACTTAAGTCACTGATCTCACTCCCAAGAGAAGTGCTCGACGTCCAGCGGCCAGGCCGCGGCTCTCCTAGTGGTTTGACTCCACAGCAGAGCTGGTGCAGATCGTGGGCGGGCACAGGGCGGGGGTGGGGGTGGGGGGTGCTGGCCCTTGAGACAGGGCCCCTGCCACTCCTCAGAGGAAGCCCAGAGGCAGGACGGTGGGACCTGCGTCCCCAAACTGGCCCCGCGGACCGGGACAGCGTGGCGAGCACGGCGTGTCAGGAGGGGGCAGGGGCCAAGCAGACCGCCTCTGCCCTGGGCTCTACGGGCACAGCAGGCCGCAGCCCGGCCTCAGCCCTTGCAGGTGTACACCTCCTCGCGCTGCGTGCACTGCCTGCACTCCACGTAGCAGCACCAGCGCACCTGGCACTGGCAGGGCCGCGTCACCACCCGGCTCTGCGTGTTGTACCCACGTCCGCAGCAGATGCTCTCGCAGTTCTTCTCGCGGTGGCACCGACGGCCGGCCGTGCCCGGGGAGAAGCGGCCGGCCAGGCAGAAGCTGGGTGAGTCGTCCAGGTGCACGAGCTCCGGCGTGCGGGGCAGGGGGTCGCCGCCGCCCGGGCCCGCCGGCCGGCCCCGGGGCGGGGGGAGGGCCCCCGCCTCCCCGGTGGCCTCGTTGGTGGTGCTGCCCACCTTGAGTGCCGTCTCGTACTTGTGCTTCAGCCGCTTGCCCACCTCATGGAAGGGTGCCAGCTGCCGCCAGCAGGTCCGCACGGTGCAGGAGCCCGACACGCCGTGGCACTTGCACGTGGTCTCCACCCCTGCCTTGATGACCTGGCAGGGAGAAGGCAGGCGGCGTGAGGGTCGTGCGGGGGACGGCACCCGCCCAGCCCCGCGTCTCACTGCAAAGGGGAGGGTGCCTCGCGGCCCACGGGCAGCGCTGACCGCCAGAATCCAGACCAAGAGGCCCCGAGAGGGAGGGAGTTCAGAGTGGCCAGCGGCACCCATGCTTGCTGGGCACGAATGCTGTGCGTCCCAGGCCCGGAAAGGGCCCTCCAGCCAGGGTTTGGCTGGCTCACCATCCCCCACCTGACACTCCTGTCCCCCACCCCGAGGTCCCTAGACCTATGTGAAAGAAAAAAAAAATGCCAGGGCAGGGAAGGCCCCTCCTGAGTGGGCAGCAAGCCAGGCCCAGCTGCGGGACGGCCCCAAGACAGCCAGAGCGGGGATTAAGATACATCGCTGCCCGGAGGCCAGGCAACAGCACAGCCCCACGTACCGGGGTTCTGCTGCTGAGAGTCAGACAAATTTAATTAAAACGCTGCTTACCTAGGCCCAGGGAGCTCACGGGGTCCTTTCCTATTCTGGCTCTTCATTAACAGTTTACAAAAGGGGGGTGCGAGGGGGAGGAGCCCCCACCTTGGTCACCCACCCCAGAGGGCGGAAGGAGGAACAACAGCTCTGGCCAAAGAAGGGGAAACTGCCTCTTTAAGTTCAAGACTCAGAGCAGAAGTGACTTGAGCTGACTAGTACACACACACACACACACACACACACACACACACACACACACACACACACACACACCCGCCCCTGCCTGCCCTCGGCAGGGCAGACACGCCCTGCTCCAGACCCCAGCCCACCCGCAGGCCGCTGGGAGCACCCAGTGTGGGGGCCGCGAGGTGGGGCGGCCGGCCCACAGGAGGGACGGGGCTGGCCCTGCCCACCCCAGGAGAGCCCCGGCCCTCCCCGTTCCCTCATCTCCGCTCACTCACGTGGCCTCCCAGACAGGGCGGCCGCTCCACCAGCCCCGCGCCCAGGCCCGGCGGGGGCGGCCAGCTCTGCCCCCTCCCGCACCGGCCCCCGCTGCCCCGCTTGCCTTCACACCCACGAGGTTGTTGTGGAAATCCACCCGGGCACGCAGGTCCTTGCTCGAGCGCCGGCCCAGGAACTCCTTGACGAACTTGCTGCTGTACTTGAGGTTGTCCCCGCAGCCGCCCCACTGCCAGGCCTCCCGGTTCTCCAGGTCGGGCGCCTCGTCACACGTGCAGCGCTCCATGCGGCCGGCGCTGCAGGCCTTGGCCAGCGCGTGCGTCAGGCCGGCCGAGGAGATGGCGTAGAGAAAGGCCGTCTCCTTGAAGCCTAGGGGGCAGGGTCAGTGGCAGGGGCGCCCCAGCAGGAGGGGGTCACGGGAAGGTCTGCTCTGTGTTCCGCTGTGGGGGAGGGGTGGCCGGCCCCAGGGACACATACACGTGGTCAGCAAGTGCCCGTGACAAGCACAGCGCCGCCACAGAGACCCCAAGCGTGCCGGCCCCACCAGTGCCCTGCCCTGCCCACCCTGGGCCTCGGGGCCCCGTAGCAAAGGAGGCAGCGGAGGGAGACCTGGAGACCGCCAGCCGGCACTGCCAGGCAGGGCAGACGGGTGGGGGGTGTACGGCCGGGAGGGACCCTGGGCCCGCCAGCAGCCCCACCGCCCAGCGCCCTGCCCGGCCCGCGGAGGCCCACCTCGCTTGAGCAGGTTGGCCCGGTAGCGGCCCTCCAGGCTGCAGTTCCAGCGCTCGAAGCGGAACTGGTACTGGCACTCGAGTGCGCTCATGCTCACAGCCTCCACCAGCGTCTCCGCCACGCCGGGGTCCCGCCGGCACATGCGCCGCTGCTTCCGCTCCAGCTTCAGCCGGTCGCACGCCTTGTAGTGGGCCTGCGCGGCCGCCGCGGGCTCTGGGCTCAGTGGGAGGACGGTCAGGGGCTCACTGCCGGTCAGCCTGGACAGAGAGAGCTGGAGTGAGCGCGGCAGGTGGGCTGGTAGGGGCCACGCAGGGGCAGGAGAGGCCCGGGAGCTGGGCAGAGGCTGGGGATGGTGGGCACTGCTGGGCACTGCTGATGGACACTGGCAGTGCCCTGCACTCGTGCGGTGGTACCCAAGGGTCTCGCCGACTTCCTCCACATCAGCCTCCCTGCCCCATGGCCTCCCTAAGGGAGGAAAAGGGCCCCCGTCCCAGGGGACAGCCTGGCTTGGGGCTCGAGTGGACGACCTGGCCTAGGATCACAAGGGGTCAGTCAGACCTGAGGCTTGCAAGGGGTCAGCCTAACCCGGGTGTCACTAGGGGACAGTCCGACCTGGGGCTCACAGGCCAACCCCATACCTTGCCCACCGCCTCCAGGCCTGTTCCAGGACTCCTCCTGCTGGCCACGATCCCATGGCCCTCTGGAAAGGTTCTGACGCTTGTGCACTTGGTCCATCGGCTACCCCAGGTCCCATGTGCTCAGGAAAGGGTGTCAGGAAGCCCTGCAAGCTAGTGACCTGGGCTGTCCACCCACCAACACACTCCCGGGATAGAGAAGCTGCTCCACGCTCGGGCCCAGGGGCCGCGGCGTCCCACACAGGCTGCAAAGCTGTGCCCCAGGTGTGTTTCTGCCTGGCCACACTCTCAGCCCATTCAGCACCCTACGGGGCACCATTCGGAACTGCCCTCCTGTGTCCACCCCACAGCACGCAGGAACCAGGACAGAGTCTCCTCGGGCCCCCAACCGCCTGTTCGCCTGCTGCTCATCCGAGAAGTGCAGTCAGAGGCTAATGGTGGAGGCAGCTCTCTGCAGGTGGCAGGGGAGGCGCCCAGAGTTCCACCCTCTTCACCCAGTGCTGACCCTGCAGGTGCCGAACCCTCTGGAAGCAGCCATAGGCCGAAGCACAGGGGGCACCTGGCTCCACTCCGCCTGGGCAAGGCCTCTGAGGGGCAGAAGGGCTTGCGTGCCTCTCCCTGCCCGGGCTCCCAGCCAGGCCAGGGTGCTGAGGCCCGGAAGCCGAGAAGGGAGCCAGGCTGCTGCAGAGGCTCCCTGGGCTTCCGGGCTGCCTGCCGGGCCTGCTGGACACAGGGGTGCAGGGGTGGCAAGGGCCCTGCTCTGGCCTCCGGGAGCTCGGTAATGCTCTGACATTAGCAGAAGCGGCCGGAGGAGAAGCCCTCATGGAGAGGCAAACGAAGACGCAAGGCCTTTCAGGAGGAAGCACCTGAGGCAGGGTGAGGGGTGTCAGCCTGGCCTTGGGAGCTGCGTCCCTGTCCGCCAGGGCTTACGGCCTCGCGCCTGAGGCACAGGGACACAGCGGGGGCTGGCATGTGACAGCTTCGTGGACTCAAGGCCTTCCACCTGACTCAGACGGCTACACACCCGGGGACAGCTGTCTAGCTGGGCAGAGAGCACGGCGGGGACAAGGGCCAGGCACGGGAGGCCAGAGGAGCCGTGTCCCCACACAAAGGCAGCTCAGACGCAGAAGGAGAGCTTGTCCCGCAGGCAGGAATGTCAGCAGCTGTGACCAGAAGGAAACACTGCGCGCCCCCTCCCCAGTCCCCAGGTCATGTGCCCACGTGCAGCCCCAGGGCCCAGGGCCCAGGGCAGTGCAGAAGGCGAACTCTACGTGCCTCCCCAGGGTCTTCTGCTCTCCTGCCCCTGCCCCGGGGTCACCACGGGCATCTGGGGGCTGCATGAAAGGACAACCAGCCACAGCCTGGTGTTGGGCAGCAGGCAGCCGGCCTGTGGCTGAGGTCCTGTGCCCAGACACTGGTGGGTGAACTTCCAGGGTGGACAGGTGGGCAGATACTGCAACCTGGGTGGGGGTGGAGATGAGGGTGGCCACCCCCACCCCCAGCAGGGTGTCTACTCTCAGGGTGGAGGGGGACAGAACCTTGGGGAGGTGCCAGGGAGAGGGTACACAGACGTGTGGGACAGGGTGGGTGTCAGCAGGGCCCCAGGACAGAATCACAGCCTGAGGAGGAGGCATAAAGGGCCAGAAGGAGTGACGGGACAACGGGGAGGGCATCTGCCTTGCATGCAGCTGACCTGGGTTCAATCCCTGGCAGCCCATATGGTCCCTGAGGCAGTGAACCCTGAGTTCAGAGCCAAGAGTAAGCCCTGAGCACCGGGACTGGAGCGATAGCACAGTGTTTGCCTTGCATGTGACTGACCTGGGTTCGAGTCCCAGCATCCCAAATGGTCCCCCAAGCATTGCCAGGCCAGAAGTAATTCCTGAGTGCAGAGCCAGGAGTGACCCCTGTACATCGCCAGGTATGACCCAAAAAGGAAAAAAAAGAAGCCCTGAGCACCGCCAGGTATAGCCCCCAAAACATTTTTTAATAAAATTAATATAAAGAAGAGCCAAGGAGAGAAGTCCCCAAAGCAATAAGACGCAGGAAGGCTTTCCCCAGTGTGACTCCCAGCCTTGAACATCAACACTTACTACAGAACGGGCCTCTCTGCAACAAGTCAAAACACAGTCAGTGACAGATGACAGAAAACGAGCCTGAGGGCTTCTGCGTGCACATGTGTTTGCGTGTGAGTGCCGATGGGAGTCGGATCTACAGCGCTGATGGCCTGTGACAGACTGTCAGGAAAGGAAACTGGCTCTCAGAACACCTAAGATGCTCGGCCCCCCTCAGACGCAGCAGGACGGCTGCATTTCACTCATCAGACACACACAGAGAACCCACAGTCCACTGTGAAGGCCCCAGAATAGGGGGAGTCCAGGGCTGACTGTGAAAGTCAACCCACCAGTTTCTCTCTAAAACACAGGCCACTGGGGCTGGAGCAACAGCACAGCGGGTAGGGCGTTGGCCTTGCACGCGGCCAACCCGGGTTTGATTCCCAGCATCCCATATGGTCCCCTGAGCACTGCCAGGGATAATTCCTGAGTGCAGAGCCAGGAGGAACCCCTGTGCAGTGCCGGGTGTGACCCAAAAAGCCAATAAATAAATAAATAAAAATAAAACACAGGCCACAGGCACAACTGCTTCAAGACACGGAATCACGCTGCCGCACAGTGCACAAGCGTCCACACCTGCACCTGGTGCTCAGCCCACTGTGAGGCTGCGCCTGCAGGGAAACCAACTCCTCCCTGGTGGCCAGTGTCTGCCTGGCCCACGGGCACGTTAGTGGGCAAAACCCTGTGTTCAATGTTCAGCAGCAGGTGGTATGGGCGCGGCTGGTCCTTCAGCCTCTGGTCCTGCCAGCCTGGGGCAGCAAACTGCCCATGGCCCTCTTCCAGGGAGCTGGGCCTTCTAGACTAGCTTGGCACAGTGTAACACAGTCTGCGCCCCCCGCAACACACCCACACACATACCACCCAGCTGCCCACCCCATGCCAGCACACCTGCTACTAGGCTCAACGCAGCTGCCAACCCCCCACCAGCGGGCGTCTGGCCTGGGACAGGCAGGTGGAGCAGACACATGGGCTTCCAGGCTGCCTGCTTCCTGCAGCCCATGACTGAGGCGTGTGTCACGGGACTCACAAGTTCAGGTACTTCCCTTTGATAATGACGTCAGGAAGATGAACGGGCCAGAGAGATAGGACGAGGGAAAAGGTGCTTGGCTTGCATGTGACGGGACCAAGTTGGAGCCCCAGCACTGCCCAGGGTCCCTGGTGCCCTGCCAGGAGTGATTCCTGAGCAAAAGCCAGGAGAAAGCTCGGAGCACTGCCAGGTGTGGCCCAAAACAAGCTGCAGGGAAGCAGGCTATGCGGGACAGACCTCCGTCTTCCTGCCCTCCCTCTTCTCGGGGTCTTACAACGGAGGACTGACTGAGCTGCCCTCTCCATCCTCCCAACTGGCTTTAGAGGCCCAGTCCTCACATCCAGCCCAAGTCACCTCCTGAGGGGCTCTGCTACGTGGCCCTGCTCTGCTGTGCTCCTTTCTGAGTGCTCCCTGCTGTGTCCCCCTGCGCTGCTGTCCTGTGCTGGGCCTTAGACGAGAAGGTGCCCCGGCACTCTGGGCAGTCACGACTGCCCTCCAGGGCTCCACAGCAGAGAGCATCATGGCACCACTGAGGGCGGGAGCCACGCCCCCCACCCCAACTCATGTCCCTCCTACTGACCCAGAAACCTCGTCCCTGCACGTGAACTGGAGGCAGACACCAGGACAGGGGCCACCAAGCTAGCGCTTCAGGGGGGCCCATCCTCCTCCCTCCCTGGGACAGTGGCAGCTCTTCAAGCGAGAGGCACCACAAACAGCCACTTTGGGATTTCCCTTAACCGAAAGAAACCCCATGCCCTCTGGGCACTGACCCCTCTTCCTGTGCCCAGCCCCTCGATCTGGCCCCTCACCAGGCATCATGCTGGACCTTCGTCCCCCATCCTCCCCTTGCTCTCTGGCTGAATGACACCTCACCGTGTGGATGGGCCACACCCTCGGACTCTTCAGCTGATGGAATGGGAACTGTCCACCTCTTGCTGCTGTGCTGCTGGCCCCTCACGCTGCTCTGTGTGGACAACATCTGTCACTTCCAGGGAGGAGCTGCCGGGGGTGCGGAGGGGTGCACCCACTGTGCGCAGAGCCGCTGGCTCATCTGCATGGGCTGACCTTCACCCCAGCACCCACCTCTCTGCTTCCAGCGCACCCGGCCGCAGACCCAGCCAGTCCTGGCCCTTGCTGTGGGGGTTTCTGTCCACGTGAAGCGGCCTCCATACCCCTGGCCTGGCCGAATTACAGTGAGGGTCCTGGAGTAGGTGCTCCGTGTCCTCCGCTGTTCTTTCCTTTGCATCTGGATGGACACATTTGCATGCCTTCCAGTTTCTCCTTTCTTGTAAAATACGCTTAGAAGGCTGACATGTCACCACCTCAGACTTTTCAAAACCGCATCACTGGTCACCTGCAGAGCCTGAGTCGCAATCCCTTTTTTCCCTCTTCTCTCGCTTCCTTCAGTCCTCTGAGAGGTCATGTTCTCTCTCTGACCTCTTCCTCCTCTTCTGTGTCCCCCGTGTGAGCCCGGGCCACAGCTA